CTCGCGCTGCTGGGAGGGTGTGCCGCGAGGAGGTGCAGCGGGCAGCGGGCGCGCGCGCGCCGCGGCTATACCGGCGGAGGCGAGAGGCGGAGGCGCCGCCCGCGGTAGCGCAGGCAGCGGCAGCAGGCCTCCTCCCTCTTGCCTCCTCCCGCTTCTCCTCTGCACCTCCCAGCCATCCTCGTCCCCCCCAGATGGGGCGCACAGAGACATACTAGTACTAAGTGTTCTCCGTGGAGGCGCGCGTCCGAACGAAGACGTAGTATCGTTTCCCGAGCGATGTGGCAAGAAAGCGCCCGCCACGACGCATATACTATAAGATTTCTCGGTGCGCGCGTCGCCCCTGGGGGGGGCGACGCACATATAGTAGAAGTATGGTGTGGTGACGCCGACGAGACCCCCTCGCGTTGTGAAACAAATCGCGACGGGAGGTTTTTCGCGATTTCGAGCTCCGGGGGCCCTTACCGGCCCGCGGGGCCGTCAGAAAACGATTCGGGATGAAAAGCTGGTCCCCGGGGAAGGGGTCCAGACCTCTGGGGGTCGACGTTGTGGAAACGTCACAGCGCCTCCTCACAATACAACAATTGACAATCTCAAACCAATGATCTGAATGATGTGATTTCGCTTTCTTGCCAGTGGTATGTGTGAGCTTTCACCAGTCTCGCTGGCTCTTCCGACTGGCCTGGACAAAAACAGCTATGGTACGGCCCCTCCCTCTTGAAAGTACGCGCGCGCAGGAGCGAAGAGGGGGGGGAAGGACGGTACCCTTTGACTGCAGTGCGTTCATAGAGGAAGAAAAAAACCATAAACATAAACTTTGAGCGCTCCGCGCGGATCCAAGAAATCCAAGCGGAACGCCAAAACAATCTGTTTATGGCGTTTTCTCTTATTCGAGCTCAGCGCGTTCTGGAAAGGCTCTGCCGGAACGAGCTGGCGCCGCAATCCTCGTCCTCCATCCCGTTTCCTTCCCTCCCCGTCGCGCCCCCAAAAGTGTTGGTAGATCGGGACCGGGCGTTCGTCCGAGACGTCCTCTCACCACTCATGAGCTCGTGAAACTCGGAACTTGCATCCGCCTCACGGATAGAGGGCGGGCCGTTTACAAAATCTTGCTCTCGCCGGAGCGCCGCGCACATTCGTCTTCGAAGTTTGCACCAAACTTAATGGATGGAGGGCAGGCCATCTTCAAAATATGGCTCTTGCCTGAGCGCCGTGCACAATCGTATGCCAAGTCTGCAACCGTTTCAAGGATTCGTATGGTTGAGATCGCAGGAGCGCTGTTGTGGCATGACTTGGGATTGCCAGGACGGAGCAGTCATGTAAGTTCGAGGTGCTGAAGTCTCAGGAATGGTTTCTGGTGCGGATTAAGACTGTCAGGACGCGACAGTTCTGTTGATTCGCAGCGCTGAGATCCCAGGAATTGTGTTCTGGTGTGATTGAAGATTCTAAGACGTTTGTCTTCCAATGGGCACATCCCGCAGTGATAATCGATTCTTGCAGGGGCCTACGAAAAAGGAACATGGAGGGAGGGTTCACTGCAACACCGTAGTTGCGTCTTGGGTGCGCACTGGCCCTTCTCCTCCCTCCCTCCTCCTCCTCCTCCTCCTCCTCCTCCTCATCCTCCTCATCCTCCTCCTCCTCCTCCTCATCGTCCTTCTCACTCCTCACACCTCACTCCTCACTCCTCATTCCTCACACCTCCCCCCTTACTCCTCACACTTCACTTCCCACTCCTCGCACCTCACCCTCCTCCTCCTCCTCTTCCTCCTCCTCGTCCTCCTCACTCCTCATTCCTCACACCTCCCCCCTTACTCCTCGCACTTCACTTCCCACTCCTCGCACCTCACCCTCCTCCTCCTCTTCCTCCTCCTCGTCCTCCTCACTCCTCACACCTCGCCCTTCACTCCCCTCACCCCACTCTTGCCTCCTCACATCTCGCCCCTCACTCCTCACACCTCACCCTCCTCCTCCTCCTCCTCCTCCTCCTCCTCCTCCTCCTCCTGCGTTCTCTGGAATTGCAGGCGCGTGGTTTCTCCGATGCCCCCCCCCGGGAGGGGGAGGGGCAGCTGCCGGCGTGCAGGCCGAGGGATTGCAGACGGCGGCCCTGCAAGTTTTGGAGCACTCCGCCTGGTATGAGACGGTGGGCTTGTCTTCCACCGCCACCACCAGAAGGAGGGGGATGGGGTCCTCCTCCTCCTCCTCCTCCTCCTCCTCCTCCTCCCCCTCCTCCCCCCTTCTTCTTCCTCCTCTTCCTCCTTCTCATCCTCCACCTCCTTCCCCCCTCCAGCTTGTAATGGTGGTGGTGGTGGTGGGAAACAAACCCATCATGAAATCCGTGGGGTCCGTCAACATCGGGGCCGAGTCTTTGTGCAGCAGCCTCGTGCAAAGCCAACTGGCCGTGGCCAGGGTAGAGGTGGACGTTGGGGTCCGCCCTGGACGCCGAGTGTGCAGTCATCTTCTTGTGGGAGAGTGTGCCACTGGAGGGGGGTAGGAGCAGTGCCGTGGAGCACCCCAGGCGGTGCACCCCGCTTGTGGGGCAGCTCTTGGCTTGTGCGCATGCCACCAGCAGGGCGACTTGACCGACAGCATGTCTTTGAAGGTCACCCAGATCCTGTGTTTGAGTATCTTGATGCCCGACGCGAGTCTGCGCTCGCAGAGGGCCTCGGATTGCAGTGGACCCAGGGACCCAGGGTTTCGCTCGCTCGCTCCTCCTCCTCCTCCTCACTTTTCACTCCGCACTCCTCACTCCTCACTCGACGCTCCTTACTCCTCACCTCGCAACTTTCCTCTTCCTCCTCCTCCTCCTCCTCCTCCTCCTCCTCCTCCTCCTCTCCTCCTCCTTCGCACACATCACACCTCAGACTTCACTCCTCCTACTCCTCGTCATCCTCCCTCTCTCCAGGGAGGGGAGGAATACGCAGGAGGGAGTATAGCGGGACGAGGGGGGAGGGCGTGGGATGGAAGATGATTAGGATGCTGGCTGCTGACCGTGGCAGGTAATACCGTCTGTAAGTCATCTTGTGATCATGGTTCGATGATGGTGATGCTGAAGATACCGATGGTGACGATGCTGTTGGTAACGATGATGTGGATGAGTACGATTCTGAAGATTCTGACAATCATGAGCAGCAGCGGCACAGTAGCAGCAACATCAAACAATGCAATGATAACACATATAAGCAATACCGTACACAAGAAAAAGGGATGCCACACATGAGCGTATCGATATTGGGGGCTGTTCTTGTGGATGTTCGTGAACTTTGCCTGTCTGGTGCAAGGAACTTGTGCAATAGCGAGGGATGCTCACATTATTGCCTCGCACGTTCGACTATGGTCAACACGTTGGGGTAATTAGATTCATAACACCCGAGCTCTCCCACAACATGTTCTTCCCCGACGGGGGCGGCGGGTATCTTTCTCTTCCTGGACCCACGGCGCAGCACTTCCCCCACCGCCTGTGGACTGAAAGTAGATGGCAGTCTGGAGCGGTTGCTCCCCGTCGGGGGTGGCCTCAAATCTTTGGGTGACCCTGTTTGAAATCGTCAAGGGAGTACCCTTTGAGCACCCTGCATGTTGGAGCCTTTGGGACCGTCCAGAGACGGTTCTGGGGCGTAAGGGGCGCAAGTCGAAATCCCTTTCGGATCCCGCCTCGGATCTAGAGTACTTGTGCTTTGGAGGGCTCTTTGAGCTGGAGGGTTCTTGGGGTTGGCCAGCGCGGGATGTGCCAAACTTTCAACATCCGCGGGCGCGAAGTGGTCTAAGACAGTGCATGTGCCTAAACAAACGTGTGCCTAAAAGTGGAGGCGGGTCACGTGCCATCACTTCTTCATTGTGTAATGTGTTGTTCGGCCGCCCTTTGACTTTAACTACTGATGTATGAAGTCGATATCCCATGCTGGGGTAAACACATGACTACAAGTTCTGCGCGTGCATGCTTCCAAACATGTGGCGTGCACCCACAGCCTGGTGAAACCACACGCCGCTTCGAACACGCGCATGGCGTTCCATCCACATAGGGGCTCCAGACACACACGCACTCGCACACCACAGACACACAGACACACACACAAACACAGAAACACACACACACACGCACACACGCACTCACGCACACACGCACACACACACAAAACAACACACGGCACACAACACACAACACACACAACACACACACACAACACACACAACACACACACACACTACGCACACACATGCACATACACACTTTTTACGTCGGCGGCGGGGCAGAAGAGCTGCTCCAGCGGAGAGCGATCGGGGCGATCGAAACGCGAATTGGCCGGCGTGCAGGAGGGGAGGGACAAGACAGACAGGGCGGCCGCGGAGGACGGGAGGAGCTCCACACACACACACAGGGTGCACGGGCGCCGTACACTACCTCTGTCCCAGCGTGGGCCTCACCTGTTCCTCTAGAGGCCGCCTAGATGTGGTCGGAGTTGATGAGGTCGGAGGATCGCGCCGCATCGCCGATGCATCGGCGATGCACGCGATGCACCGGCGATGCATCGTCGACGTGGTGGGCGATGCATCGGCGACGTCGACGTGAAGCAAATCGGGCTCCGCATCGAGCCGCGGCGATGCGGCGCGATCCTCGGGCCCCATCTACTCGGACCCCATCTAGGCGGCCTACAGTCAAAACGTGTATTAAGGACGGGTGATACGGACGCAAGACCCTTGGAGGCCGAAGTTGGGTTTTTTAGGGCGGCGGGCGACCAGTGATAATGGCAAGGACGGGCCTCAGAGGCAAGGACACAAGGGTACCCTAGATGAAGGCGCGCGTCCTTACTAGGCGCGTTGACTGTATGGAACTCGACTCTCTGTTTTCGAACGCCATCGTGCCGAAGGCACCCGAGTGGAGCGCCCTGGGGTCCCTTCGAGCTCGGCGCGCGGAGTGCCAGACGTGCTTTCCAGGCGGGGCTGGAGCCGCGTGCTCCGGGCGCCCTCGGTCGGGGAGGCGTCGAGGACTCGGGCTCGGGTGACGCGGGCTGTTTCGTGGCGAGGACGTCAGGAAGACGACGTGACCCAGTCTGAAATTTGACGCGAGCCCCCGCTGCAACAAGGAGGAGGAGGAGGAGGAGGAGGAGGAGGAGGAGGAGGAGGAGGAGGAGGAGGAGGAGACGGAGGAGGAGGAGGAGGAGGAGGAGGAGGAGGAGGAGGAGGAGGAATCCTGCGAAAACTGGACCGCCAGAATCCAGGGACGGGCCCGCCAGAAGGCGTCGGCAAGCCCGAGCCACGGCGAACTCGAGTCCTCCGCGTCCCAAACTCGGGCTCCTTCCTCTTCCTCCTCGTCGCCGCCCACCTCGTATGGTAGAGGGAAGCATCTCTAAGGAGCCAACTACTGGGAGGTTTTCGTCGGAAAGAATCAGGAGGATTAAACCCCACTTGGAAGCTGTTACGTCGGAAAGGGCCTCGGACTAAGCATGATTAAGCGGGATTAAGCCGGATTAGGCGGGAGCAAGCTGGATTAAGCCAGATTTCGGACCAGGGCGAAAACAGAATTTGGCCTCCCAGGAGTTGCATCCGAACATCTCGTAGACACTCCACCTCCCCCCAACTTCAGCGCTTGCACGCGCAGGGAAGACTGAGGTCGCCGTACAACTCCTCAGAGCCACCGACAGCTTTGCTCTTTGTGTGTGTGTGTGTGTGGGGGGGGGCGATGGAAGGGTGCCGCGGCGAGCGGGCGCCTGTGCCGTCCTTGACAGGCCAGCTATCCCTCAGAGGAGGAAAAAGGTACTCATACGTTTTTGTTTGTTTGTTTTTTTTATGTTGCTTCCAAGTCTGGTCTCGGTCGAAATCAATGCTTTTCCGGTGAGCACACCACATGATTGAGGACAAGGTACCCGTAGTGCTAATTACCCTCGCCTCTCTTTCCCCCTTGTTGGTGCCTCTCCTGGGGGGGCCTCGTCGTCACCGCTGGATACGCTTCGAAAGCCTGGTCAGAGCGCAATCTGTTGCAGGTTTTAGTCTGATTCGGCGTTTCGAGATTGGGCCGGAGGGGGGGGGAGGGAAGGTGGGGGACCTCTGCTTAAAGCGCCTTCTTCTGTTCTAAAAAAGGACAACAAAGCGTCCGATGGGGAAGAGACTCCGCCTGCTCGACACAGGCGCCCAAAACAGTCAAGATCTGCTTAAAGCGCCTTCGTCTGTTTCAGAAAAGGACAACAAAGCGTCCGATGGGGAAGAGACTCCGCCTGCTCGACACAGGCACCCAAAACAGTCAAGATCTGCTCCATGAGGGGTGGGGGAGGGGGGGGGGTGCGAGGGGCCGCGCCGATCGGCAAAACAATGAATGAGAAACGTCGTAGTGTGGCATGATTGCTTGCTAACTTGCTCCGAGGCCTGTATCTCTTCGCCCGCAGCAGCGACGGCTGGCGGGCGGCGGGCGGCGGCATGCGGCGGTAGGGACGGGCGACCTCTCAAGCGCCAGACGTCGGGGACCTGCACCAGTACACGCCGCCCTAGCAGCCGCGGAAGCCCTTCCAGTAGGAGGGCCCGTAGTCTGCGATGAGCTGGCGGGGCGCCCTCTCTTTGATTAACTACACAAAGAACCCCCAATCCTTTGGCAGGGGGCCTGAGTTAGGAGGGCCACACATTTGGGATAGGGGGCCTTTTCTGCAGGTGCACCAGGCCCAAACCGCCCAGATTTCTTACCCCTAGTGCGAAGACGGGGACCTCAGTGAGGCCGCGTCTTCATCGTGTTAGTAGGCTTCGTTTTCTCGATGATCTTCGACCGTGCAGCCTGTACAGGCGCGCTCGGGAACTACAAGAGACACAGGTCTCGGAAGTTCGCGCTGGTTTCCCAAGAGCTCCGCGCGGACTTTTCGGATCGGCGCCGCAGGAGCCCGCGCGGAGCTAAGAGAACTTATGTTCATGCCGTCCTCTTCTTCGGATGTATTGAAGGAGCCCCAGGACACACAAACAAATACTGCAGGTTCGTGTCGTGTCGACCCCGGCGTTGGTTCCCGACACCGCGCTGGATCGTTCAACCTTGAACGATCGGCCGTCTCCGCAAGGTCCGATCGTTCAACATCGACCGATTCTGGGCCGCCGTCGGCGTTCAACGTTGAATGTCGGCGGCGGGGTCGCCGCCGGTCGACACGACGCGAACCTACTGTACACACAAACAACAGGATTCTCCATATTTTTCTATATGTTCTGGGCTTTTGTCTTCCCCCCCTGCCCCTATTTTCCCATATATTCTGGGAAATCGACGATTGATTTGTATCTCTGTGTGTGTGTGTGTTCCTCCCCTCCTGATGTGTGAGGGCCTTCGGAAACTCCCCCCCGCGCGCTGGCGCTCGCGCTTCTACAGCGTCTTCGCGAACTCCTCCTCCTCCTCCTCCCCCTCCTCCTCCTCCTCCTCCTCCTCCTCCTCCTCCTCCTCCTCCTCCCTCCTCCTCTCCTCCTCCTCCTCCTCCTCCTCCCCCTCCTCCTCCTCCTCCTCCTCCTCCTCCTCCTCCTCCTCCTCCTCCTTTTCCTCCTGCTCCCCACGCGTGCGAGACGAGACGCCTGGCACGCTCTCTGGGAGCCGACCTCGGCCTCTCTCGCGCGGGCGGCCGCCGCTGGAGGACGGCGCGGGAGGAGGATAGGGGGGGCAAAGGGTCGGAGCGAGGGGGGATCTGGCAACATAGCGGGAGGGGAGCAGCAGGAAGGGGGCAGCAACGAGGGCGGGATGAAGACGACGGGGGAGGGCGAGGGACAGGAACAAGGAAAAGCGGCACCACCACCAGGGACCACCGGCGGGAGCAGCCAGGGGGGGTCCCATGGATGGTGTGGCCCCCCCCCCCTCCCGCTCGAGGCATCCTCTACCCCCAGCTCGGGGAGGCATCGTGGACCTCCTCGGTGGCCGTGTCGCTTCTCCTTCCCCCGGGGGAAGCAGCGCGCGGAGAGGCGGGGTGGTGGAGGCGGAGGACTGGGACGGGGAAAGGCCCAGACCTCCGACGTCGTGATTTTTTCGCAGCGTCGACCCCCGGACCCCTTTCCTGTGACTGGCCCTTTCCGTCCCGAGTTGATTTCTGACGCTCCGAGGCCCGGCGAGGGCCCCGGGAGGCCGAAACTAGCTAGAAATCTCCCGCGCCAGGATTTCTTCACATCACGCAGGAAATATCTGAGGGGGAGAGGATCGCGAGGGCGGAAGGACGAGGCGCAGGAGGAGGCCGAACCGAGGCCGCAGCACTGCAGCACCCGGCCCTCCCGCCCTCCCCGGGCCCCTCTGGCCTCGCGGCCCGGCGCCACCTCCCCCCTCGTCCGGAAGTACATCACCCCCCCGAGCTCGCAGATGTCCACGTTCACGGAGCCTGGAGTGAAGTCGGGCGTGTCCCCCTACAGGGGGGATGTTCGACGAAGAATAAAAAAATACCCCCAAAATTCCCCCCAAAGGCAAAACAATACCCGCAAAATAGTCCCCTGACTATTTTTGGATTCTTTTTGGGGTCTATTTTTGGGGTCTATTTTTTTCGTCGAAAATCCCCGTGTAGGGGGACAGGCTCGACCTAAAGCCTGGACCAGAGCGGGGCACGCAGGCGTACACACAGAAACTCTCGGAGGCCCGCGCGGGTGCCTCTCGGAGCGGCGGTGGACCCTCCTCTGCCGCAGGCGCCGCCGGAGGGGTCCAGCGCTGATCCAAGAACTCCGTGCGGAGCGCCGGGCCCAGATCGCCTACGTCGTGACTTGTTTCACAACGTCGACCCTTAGAGGTCTGGACCCCTTTCTGCGTTCCCGAGGCCCGGGAAGGGCCCCCCGGAGGCCGAGAACATAGAACAACCTCGCGTCGCATTTTTTTGCAACGCGAAGAGGTCTGGGGAATCTTCCTACTACTGCGCCGAAGAAAGATCCTTCTGCGGCTGAAATGATCGAGGAGGGGCAGCCTGGCTCGTGGGGGAGGAGAGGCAAGGACCCAGATGCCAGCAGATGTCGCCCCCCCCCGCGTCGAGACCGCACGCTCCCGGGCGTGGGGGGGGGGGGGGGGATCCCGAGCCCCGAGTGGAGTGATAGGCTGAGCGATGCCCCCTGGGCCACTCCCCCCGGCACAGGCCTCCGCGAAGCCGTGATTCTCTGCACCGCGTGGACCCAGGACCACCCGAGGTCATCTTCGCGGCCCCTGCGGGTGCCCCGGAGGAGGAAGAGGAGGAGGAAGAGGAGGAGGGAGGAGGAGGAGGAGGGAGGAGGAGGAGGCGGAGGAGGAGGAGGAGGAGGGAGGAGGAGGAGGAGGAGGAGGCGGAGGAGGAAGCCCCTGGAGGTCTGGACAGATCACCCGGCACCAGCTTCGCACCCAGAGGAGCTTGTGCACGGCCCCGGGGGGGCTGGCGGGTGCCCCCCGGAGGCAACCAACTAGGAAGCGCCACCCCCGTCAGAAGGAGGGGCCCCGAAGGGTCCCGTGCTGCCCCCCTGCGCGCGCATGGCAGACTGGAGGGCCCAGCCTCTGGGAAGCACTTTTTTGATCCGCGGGTCGAGGGCGCACCTCTTCCGGTCGAAGCTACGCGGGCCGCGCGAAGCTTGAACCAGGCGGAGGGAGGGGAGGAGAAAGCGGCGGGGCCTCATAGGGCGAGGCCGAGGGGAGGCAAAGCCCCAACTTGGGGAGGCACGCTCCGGGGCTGCGCCTTCGGTCCGCCCGCGCCGCCGCCCCCTCACCCTCCTGATGGCACGTGCCACGTGCGGGGTGCTGCGTCGTGCTGCTGCTTCGCGACGCGGGGAGATCTGGGCCCGTCGCTCGAGAGAGATGGGGATATTGCCAAACATCTACTGTCCGAACTCCGCACGGGTCTCTTGGATCGGGGCTGGGCCACCCCGCCGGCGCCTCCGGCGCCGGCCCCGTCCCAAGAAGTCCGCGCGGAGCTCCGACGGTTTATGGTTCGGCAGCTTTTTCTTGCTCGAACCTGGTGTCGCATCTTCGGGGGACCGTGTCTGTCCAGTCGCGCCCCTATCCGCGTCGAATCCATGTCGAATCCACGTTGCATCCGTCGAATCCGCGTCCAATCCACTTCGCATCCGCGCCGAATCCACGCCAAATCCGCGCTGAGTCCGCATCGAGCCCGCGGCGGGCACCAGAGAAGACACACATGTTTGGGACAGGCGAGGCCCCCCGAAGAGGCAACGCAACGTACTCTTGCCCCTGCGAGCCGCACTGGTCCAGCGCGTTCGCGCCGTTGATGAAGCGCGCAGGGCTATCCGGGCCCGGCCCCGACGCGTCGACGCAGAACGCCATGTCCCGCGCGGCGGGCCCGCGCTCGAGCTCCGCCTGGTGGGCGGAGGGAAGGCCACAGCCGAGACTGCTGCGGCGTCGTCTCCTGTGAGGGGAAGCGTCAGGGGGGCAGGGAGAGGAGACGCACCACTAGAGGCCTCCCAGATGGGGTCCGAGCAGATGGGGTCGGAGGATCGCGCCGCATCGCCGATACATCGGCGATGCATCGGCGATGCATCGGAGATGCACCGGCGATGCATCGTCGACGTGGGCGATGCATCGGCGAGGTCGGCGTGGGGAACATCGGGCTCCACATCGAGCCGCATCGCCGATGCATCTGCGATGCTGCGCGATCCTCCGACCCCATCTGCCCCGGCCCCATCGAGGAGGCCTACCACCACCACCACCACCACCACCACCACCACCACCACCACCACCACCACCACCACCACCACCACCACCACCACCTGGAGGACGGAGGCAGCGGGTGGCCAGGGGTGGTGGTGGCGTATGCCGTTTCAGGGCGCTCCCGCAGGACAGCGTGCACGCCCGCCTCCTAGGCACCAGCTCATCCTGCATCCCCCCAGGCGGTCGTGGTGGTCGTGCGCCTCCTGCTCCCGCTGGGAAGCCGGGTCAGGGGGAACGAGGTCGCGATGGAATCGGCGCCGCATCGCCGATGCATCGGCGAGAGGCCCTCGAGAACGAGCCGGCACCTTCCTGCGCAGGCCCCTATCGGCGCTGAATGGGTGATGGGGCGTCGATGCGTCCCCCCCTGGAGCCTAGTCCCCCCCCTGACGTTGCCACTGATCCTGTCAATTCGACTTGCAGCGTGTTTTGTTGGTTTCGTGCGTGTTTTTTTTCGCCAAATGATCAAGGATGCTCCTCGATGGTCCTCGCCGAAGGAAAAGTGCACACGTCCGAGCGATGCCAAACTCCACCTCGAACGGCGTTCGGTTTTCCGACATCGCTTGCGCCGCTCGACGCCCGGCCAACCCTGGGCCGCTGGCGGCCCGCTCGGGGCGCCCGCGCAGGCGACCGCTGCCGCGTCGACAAAGGCATGAGCGTGCCGAGCGTATCTCGGGTCGGGCGCAAGGGGGGGGGACAGCAAAGGGGGGGTTTGAGAATCAGCTCGCGTCGCTGATTTCCCCGGCGCCTCCCGGCGCCGGAGGCGGCATATGTATCGAGGAACGGGCCCAGCGGCGGGGCCGAAACCAGCTGCATGCAGCAGATTTCGTAACCACCCCTTTCCCAATCCCCCCCTTTCGCCCCGCCCGAGTATCTTCCAGATCCCTTCCAGGGTGCGCTCTGACCTGTGCAGGTGTCGAGGCGGACCCCAGAGGCCCCCGTATTCGCACCTCGTGCCGAGCGAAGCGCGAGAAACCTAGGTCTGACGCGCCGCCCCCTGGGGGGCAAGAGGAGGACGAAAGACGAGGAGGACGAGGGATGAGGAGGACGAGATAGAAGGCCCAGGCCCCGCACCGCGAACCGCGAATGGCTTCGCGCCCTCGCGGAAGCCCTCGCATCCGCGCCGTGGCGACAGGGGGGCCCCCCGGGATGCCCGAGGAGGCGAGCCCGAGGGGAGGGCCTCTCAGCACCTCGTGGCTCCTGCTGCTTTTGGGCCCGCGCCTGGGTCATGTTCTTGACCGCCTTCGCGCTCGACCTGGCCGAGTCCGAAGCCCTGGGCCCCCCACGAGTCCGGACGCCGCGTCTCTGCTTCCGCCGCCCCCCGCTGATGCTTTGGAGCCCCGGAACGGTGCGGTGACAGACCGTGCGGTGACCTCGAAATCCCCAAAGGCCTCACCGCACGGTCCGTCACCGCCCGGTTTGGGACTTCGGAGGCCCCAGTCGCCCGAGACGTCCTCGGAGAACGACCCGAGTTCCAAAGCCGTGCGGTGAACCCGAATCACCACCGACTCACCTCACGGTGTGGTCACCGCCCCGTGTGGGGGCCCCCGCCGATACCTCCTCTGCCCGCGCACCCGCTAGGACTAGACCCGAAGCGGTCCTGATGGCACCCACACGTCGTTCGGTGGCAGTTCATGGGGACCTTCCAGACCTGGGACCCACCTTGTCGGCTCTTGCGAATCGACGCTAATCGACGCTAATCGACGCTAGTCGACGTTAAATTGACATACCATCGACGCTAATCGACGCTACCCGACGATAAATCGGCGCTGTCTCATGGACTCCCGGACGCTAATCGACACCAGCCGACGCGAAAGACATAATTGCGAGTGTGCACAAGGCCCCCATGATTTGCTACCTACCGAAAGATCTCAAGATGGAATATGGGTCCACAACCCGACCAACCCGATGTCCAAGGAGACGCTCCAGGGACTACCCCAACAGGGCCCAAAGGGAACACGAAGCCTCTACGGTGCATCGAGCGCCGACGAGGATGGGGCAGGGGACCCCCCGCAGCGAGCCGCTCTTGGGAGAGCGGCCCTTCTTGAGCCAAAATGGCTACGGTCCCCCCTCCCCCGTCCCGTCAGCCCAGCATGCCAAGCCCCACCCTGCCCAAGGCCGGGGCAGGCTAGAACGTGTGCCGTGGCGCGGTGGCCTGAAGGAGCGCTGTCGCACGCCAGCGCTGGGCCGAGTGCTCACTCGAGCACGGCCGCGCACCGAATGCCGATGCGCTGCGAGATCCTCACCCAACTCGCACTTCACAAAATCTCTGCGTGCGCCCCTAGCGGCGTTTACTCGGGGCACAGCGGGCGTCCTGGAGCAGCGCGCAGTCGCCACTGAACTATTCAGGATGGCAGAAGGGAGAAACCAATGTACGCGCAAGGGCTGTGAGCTGTGCCAGTAACGCGCGCGAGCACACGTGTGACATGGACTTCTGATACCGTTTGATGCTGTGCCATCGCGTGGCCAAAAAGACGCCGTAATCTGACCTGGTTGATTAGTCGGTGCATCGTTGCGCCATGAAGGCGGGGTGCAAACCACCTGTGAGTACGACTGCGCTGATCCGAGTGCCTGGACGTTTCTGCCAGCCGGGAAGAGTTCGAACACCCCCTCTTGGCGGGCCTTGCCCTGCCGGGCATGGCCGCGCTGGCCTGCCCACTGCAGGGCGCGCCCCGGCGAGCGAGGGACTTCGACCCCTGTGGGTGCTTCCAAGGAGTCTGCCCCCCGAGGGTGCCCGAGATCCCCCGCCGATTTTACTTCCGCCGGCCTTCTGGCGAGGGCGAGGCGCGCCGCCGGTCCCGAGACCCGACGCTGCGAGGCAGCTGCGACAGCGCAAAGCGAACACTCGACGGGAGCCCTCCACCCAAATACTCTGCTGGACTTGTCTCGGGCTGGAGCGACCTGCGAGGGCGCCGGGGCCCGACGACGGGCGGGAGCACAAAGACTGCGACGCCAGGGCCTCTTGGGGAAGGGCGGGGCCCTTTCTGGAACGCCCCTACCGCGGGCACCAGGTGTAGCTCATCCGCGGCGTGCGGACCCTCTCGCCGACCTCTGAGGGGCCGATTTTGCCCCACCACTGCCGTAGGCAGGAGAGGGAGGAGGAGGAGGAGGAGGAGGAGGAGGAGGAGGAGGAGGAGGAGGAGGAGGAGGAGGAGGAGGAGGGCGGAGGAGGAGGAGGAGGAGGAGGGGAGGAGGAGGAGGAGGAGGAGGAGGGAGGAGGAGGAGGAGGAGGAGGAGGAGGTGGAGGAGGGGAGGAGGAGGAGGAGGAGGAGGGAGGAGGAGGAGGAGGAGGAGGAGGAGGCGGGAGGAGGAGGAGGAGGAGGAGGAGGAGGGGGGTGGGGGAGGCGGCGGAGGGAGGAGGAGAAGGAGGAGGGAGAAGGAGGGGGAGGGGGAGGAGGAGGAGGAGGAGGCAGGAGGAGGAGGAGGAGGAGGAGGAGGAGGAGGAGGAGGAGGAGGAGGAGGAGGGTGAGGGTGAGGAGGAGGAGGAGGAGGAGGAGGAGGAGGAGGAGGAGGAGGAGGAGGAGGAGGAGGAGGAGGAGGAGGAGGAGGGGGGAGGGGGAAGAGGAGGAGAGGAGGAGGAGGAGGAGGAGGAGGAGAGGAGGAGGAGGAGGAGGAGGAGGAGGAGGAGGAGGAGGAGGAGGGGGGGATGGGGGGAGGGGGAGGAGGAAGACCTCCCCATCCTCCTCTCCCCGTCTACTGTGGTTGTGGTCCCAGACCCCTGACGCCGCGTGATTTTTCAGGACGGCGTCCCCGGAAGCCCCGACCCTTTCCCCAGGACTGGCTTTTCGTCCCGAGTCGCTTCTTGCTGGCCCCGGGGCCCGGCGAGGGCCCCCCGGTGCCGAAATTATAGCGACAAACCGCCGGCCCTGATTCTTTTTACGACGCGATCATGCCTGGGGTGGGAGCTCTGTCCATAGGGGAACAAAAAGTGACATACACATAAAAACTCGGAGGTCCGCGCGGATTTCTCGGATCGGCGCTGGGGCCCCCCGGCGGCGCCTCCGGCGCCGCCCCTGGCGCGCTCCGCGCGCCAGGGAGGGGGGTCCAGCGCCGATCCGAGAAATCCGCGCGGACCTCCGAGTTTCTATGTTTATGCCACTCTTTGTGCCCCTAGTCCAGCAGACCTCGGCGAACGTCAGGAGGGTGCCGGCGTAGGGCAGCACCGCGCCCCCGGGGAGCGCCCCGCGCGCGAAGAGCCCGCGCCCCGCGCCGGCCAGGGAGGACGGCCGCACCTCCAGCTGCTCGCCTGGGTCTCGGGGGCTGCCGAGCGTGCCGCCCCCCCCCCCCGTCGGGCGGCGGCGTCCTGGCCCCTCCAGCATGCAGGGCAAATTTTTAACACACCGGACTTTAAAACATATAATGTTTGTAATACATGGCTAGTTTATAAACAAATGCATGCATGAACTCATCTTTGTTTTCAGTACTAAATCCCTGCATTTTTACTACATGATCCGCACGCGGAGCATGTATTAAAAACGGCACTGTATCTCGCTCCAGGGTTCAGTCGGGCCTGTCCCTCGTCATGGGGAACATTCAAAAATACAGTGGGGGCGCGGCCGCAAGAGGCCCTCGCAAGGAAGCCAACCCTGAAAACCCGCGCGCGAAGTGCGCCTTTGGGGAATCCGGGAGCGCCCTGAAAGCAGCAGCTTCTTCAACGGCTGCGGGAAGTCACCGCGCAGTGGGCGGAGCAAAGAAACCCAGGATACCCAGACGAAAAGCACATGGTTTCTTGATGCGCGCCCCCACAGTAGTCCAAAAATACTCCGAGGGCGATGTCTTGTTTATGTTTGACACTTTTGGGGTATGTGTTGATGTATCGTATATCATTCGTCCAAGATCCGCCTGTAGGAGGACATGCCCGACCTGACTCTAGGGTGGCGGTCTGAGGAAGATCCATGCGAGACGGCCTCCGAAACGACGCCGTCGACCCTGCTCGTGGGCCCCGCGACACTTCGCGGGCTCCTGCCTCGAAAGCGAGGCGCTGCAGACGCACGATCTCGAACCGCGCCGCTGCAAAAAAGGGGGGCTCCCCGTCAGGAGACCGAGAGCTTACTTTCTTACCTGCGCGAGAGGTCGCCCCGTGGCTAAGGAAAGAAGAGGAAAGCAGCAGGGGGGGGAGAGCAAGAGGAGAATCAACAGCAGCAGCAAAGAGCAAAACCCACAGGCGCGGCACCGGCCGCCTGGCGCTCGAAGAGCAAAAACCGAGAGCTCACATGGGAGGAGCCCCAGGCGCAACACAGAGCAAAACCGAGAGCTCACATGCGTCCCCTCGATCTCCATCGGAGGTGGGCCAGCCCAGGCCAGGCCTGCCTACGCGCCAGCGTGCTGGAACACCTCTGGGGCCCTCCCCATACGTTGGTCCGTCGCGGCGCGGCAGGAGGCGATGCGCTCGCGCGTCGAGCAGCCCGGGCTGCGGTGCTGCGAACTGCCCCGCAGGCAAGAGGACGGGGGAGGGAGAAGAGAGACGGCCACAGAGACAGGAGCACGGGACTGGAGGTAGGAGAATGAGTGTGGTTTAAATAAGGGGCATGGTGTCATATCGTGGAACTGGCGATGCTGTCTGCGATAAAGTAGCATCGCCAAGGTCCCCTGTGCATCAAATTAATACCACACCCCTTTTATACCATACTCGTCGTTCACTTCTAACCGTGCTCATTCCTAATTCTGCTCGTTTCTCATGGTTCCGCGCCCCCCATAGTGCCCAGGAAGAGGCCCAGGCTAGAAGAATTGGAAATGAGAGGCTCCTGCCCCCCCCAAAAAAAAATCAAGGCATCTTCGAATAATCAGATATGAACCACGTGTGCCCTCTTTTCCCACCTCCAGAGTTACGTCGGGCCTGTCCCCCTACAGGGGGATATCGACGAAAATTAAAAATACCCTACAAATAATCAAAGAATAATCCCCAAATGCTCTGGGGACTGTTTTTTTAGTATGTTTTGACCTTCTTGGGATATGTTTGGGGTACCTTTTTGTTTTTCGTCGAAAATCCCCCTGTAGGGGGACACGCCCGACAGAACTCCAGAGGAGGGAGGAGGAGGCGCACTCGCGCGGCAGGGCCCCGGAGCCCGCGGGCCTGGCCGGGCTGGCAGGGCTTCGGCCCCTGGCAGCGGGCGGGGCCTCGGCGCCGCGGCCCTCCCCGGACGTGCGGTGCCGGGAGCTGCCTCACCAAGGTGGGCCACTCGACCGCACGCAGGAGTCGGTGGCCCTGATTCTCTTTACGACGCGATCATGCCTGGGGTGGGAGCTCTTAGGGGGCCACATGCGAACCCTACCCCTACACCCCCCATGATTTCTGAGGGGGAGGGTGGGATTCACGTCGTCTGGGAGCTCCCGAGCGAAGTGAACGACGCGAAATCCGTCTTCCTGGAAGCCTTCGGGCCCTCCGAGGGCCCCCGCCTTCCCAAAAACCCTCCCGGCGCCCCTCGGGGGTGGGCAAAGCCCTGGGGAGCAGCACAAACCCTTCCGTGCGAACGGCCCGGAACCACACCTCGGGGCTTGGGAAAGGACACCGACACCCAAAGAGGGGGTCTGTCTCACCACGTGGGCCCCTCGACCACACGCAAGAGTGACCCTGGGCGAGAGTGGCCTCTGGTGCGAGGCTCTTTGGGGGTCGCGGGGGGACCGCGCACGAGCGCGCAAGACGCCACCACCGCATCGCGCTCGGCGATGGGGACGCCCCAGTGGGCCCGCACCAAAGGTCACTCCGGCGAAGGGTCACTCTTACGCGTAGTCGATCCACGGAAGTCCCGACCCTCTCTTTCCCAAGGACCAGTTTCTCTCGTCCTGAACAGTTCTGTTTGCGGCCCCAGGGGCCCGGCCAGAGCCCCGAGGCGTCGACAACTACGAAAATCCTTTCCGTCCGGAGTGTTCAATGCGTTAGGTGTCTGGCTCCCCAGACCTCCGACGTCGTGATGTTTTCACAACGTCGACCCCCAAAGGTCTGGACCCCCTCCTGGGGACCAACTTTTCAGCCTGACTCGTTTTGTTGACGGTCCCGAGGCCCGGGAAGGGCACCCGCGGAGGACGACCATGTAATGCCGAAAACCCTCCCGTCGTGATGTTTGCACAGCGCGAGGAGGTTGACCTTGGCCTGGGACTCGGACAAAGGGGCTGGGTGCTCTGGGCGCCCGCCGGGCCTCCCGGGGGAATCCGGGAGGACCCCTCGGGCCGGGGACGCCGCCATGGCACTCCCTCTGGCCCGCGGCGGCGCGCGGGAGGGGGTGGGGCGCAGGGGGGGCGCAGCCTCAGGGGGGGGGCGTCGCAAAAGCCATCCTGTCTTTGTCAGAGGCGTAGGGATGCGGCCTAGGCGTGAGGATGGGTGTCTCCCCCCCCCCCCCCACAGCGAGACGTGGTGTCGGGCACTCCGAGTACCTCAATAATTTTGAGCCCCGGGACCACAAGGGCCCCACAAACCCCCCACACCAAAAGGGCCCCCCCTCCCGGACGACGAGGGCCCCCCTACCCGGACTAAAATGGCCTCTCCCCCGACTACATGGCCCCCACCCCCCGGACTACCAGCCCCCCCCCCTGGACTACGAGGACCCCACAGGGCCCTCCCTGGACCACACTTGCCCTTTCAAAGCAGGCGGAAGGCGAGGGGAAACTTGGATCCGCGCGGGGCGCCACTCCGCTAGACCCCCAGCAAAGAAACGACAGTTGCACGTCGAGCAGCACCCGGGACAAGCGAACGAGAAGGCGACAGGACCGAGCGAGGAGCCAGGCAGGTCGAGGGAGAAGAAGCGAGGAAGAAACTGAGCCCAGACATCGGAACACGCGCACCGCACTACAGGACCACCCCCCTGGACTACAGGGCCCGCCCTCCCCCCCGCGGACACTACACAAGACTGCCCCCCCTGAACTGCATGCCCCCCCCACTCCCGACTGCAAGCCCCCCCCCCCCCCGGACTACAAGGGTGTACGGACTACACCCCCCCGGACTGCGGGGCCGCGGATCCGGACTACGGGGGCCCCCCCCCAGGTCTACCAGGCCCCCCCCCAGGACTACAGGGCCCCCTGAAGCTCTGGAGGTACTCGGAGTTATCGACGTCTGGACTCGCGCATCCAGGCGAGAAGCGCTGGCGAGAGGCCTCGTGCCGACCGCGCGCCCGAGCGAGACGTGGCGCACGGCTGCTTTCGTGCGTCCTGCCACGCGGGCAGGCCCTCCAGGCCCGCCCGTCGCAGGGGGCGCCCCGAGAGCACACCAGTGGAGCAGGGACCGACCGTCCCGGCATTCCTATACAGTCGGCCTTGATTGGACAGGACACGCGAGAGGACACAAGACCCCTCCGAGGGCCACATCGCCGCAGGAACGCAGGAAGCACGGGTCGCGAGGCACAGGACACAAGGGTACCCTTGAGCTGGCAAGATCGACCCACTAATCGGGGCCGACTGCAGCCCTACCGCGACATGTTCTGGGAACCCAACACATGTTCTGATGATAAAAAACAATGTTCTGAGAACATAGGCCCGACGTGTTAAAACACGACAGTCTCAGCAAGATATGTTCCAAGAAGAACATTTCGTGCAGACCACAACAGGTCCTTGGAACAGTCTTCGGCGGGCCTATTATACGTCAGCCAGGGCGCTACGCCACTGCTCGAGCCGACCGCACACCGCTCTGGGCTTTTGCCTGCAGGGGTCCGCGCGGGTGTCCTGAGCTGGCGCTTGGCCCCCACCCCCGCGCGCAGGGCGGGTGCGTTAGGCCTTGGATTATGTCGGGCGAAGATCCCCCTACAGGGGGATTTTCGACGAAAAATTAAAAATACCCCTAAAAATGCACCCAAAAGGTCAACAAATACCCCAAAAATAGTTCCTGGACTATTTTGGGACTTTTTTTTTGATATCTTGGGGGTATTTTTTATTTTTCGTCGAAAATCCCGCTGTAGGGGGACAGGCCCGACCTAAAGATAGGCCTTGGATGTCGAAGCGCATCGCGAACCCAGCCGAAGGCGCCGAGAGGAGTTCTCCACGCCGCACGCCGCTGCGGCCTCTTCTTGATGCAGTGCCGAGTTGTTCCTGGCATGAGCGCGCCATCTGCGGTCGAGGGGCGGGCACTCGGAGTATACCTCAGCAGGTCTGGGCCCCCAGACCTCAAGGGCCCGCCCCCTGCAAATTACAAGGGCCCCCCCCTCGCCATCGCTCGGACGTCCATTCCCTGTGTTTTTTTCGGTTTCGTGCGTGGTTTTTTCGCCAAATGATCTAGGATGCTCCTCGATGGTCCTCGCCGAAGGAAACATGCACACGTCCGAGCGATGCCAAGCCCCCCGGACTACAGGACTTCCCCCCCAGACTGCAACAAAGGTCTCCGCCCCCCGCCCCCCAGACTACAAGGAGGACTCCCCCCCCCCCTGGACTATACCCTCACCCCCCGGACTATACAGGAACCCCCTCAGACTACAAAGGCCCGCCCTCCTGAATTACAGGCCCCCCCTTGAATAGATGGGTCACTCCAGAACTATCATCTATTGAGGTGCTCAGGAGCAGTCGTCCGGTAATTCTTCCTTGCTGAAGCATGAATATACCCGTGGCGCGTTCCACTGAGATCCGCTGTTGAGATCACTTTTGCAGCATAGCGTGCTTCGGGCGGAATCGATCTGTGATGGTCCCAGGGCCAGAAACGAGGCCAAATCGCTGGTTGTGACCAAATGCCACGCTCAAGTCGGGCCTGCCCTCCTACAGGTGGATTTTGGACGAAAGCTAAAAATAGTCACAACATACCGCGCAATAAGCAAAACATGCAAACAAAAATCGCCCCCAGACTATGTTTGGACCAGTTCGGAATCTTCCTCCTGTGGAGGGACAGGCCCGACTGAATGCCACGCCAAGCTCTCAAGGCAGGCAGGCCACCCTCCGCCTCCGGTGGTCTTCTCTGAGCTCGGGCGGCCGCTCGGCACGGCCCCGGAGAGAGCCCGCCCGAGGCCGGGCAGCCGCTGGCGAACCGACGAGGCCGCCCGAGCACCTCGAGCCCCGAGCGTCGGACGGAGGGCACGCCGGAGAGCACGACGCTGGCTTCATTGAAGGGGCCCTGGGACACGCAAATAGACATACACACAAATAACGGGATCCCCCCATAATTTTCCCATACTTTCTGGGCTATTGTCTCCCCCCACTTCCCACCGTTTCCCATATTTTCTGGGGAATCGACGATTCATCGTGTCTGTGTACTTTCTTCCCTCCTGAGCTTGCTGTATGGCGACGACCGACGGCGACTCCAGGCCGCCCGGCTCGCCCCGCAGCGGGGTCCACCCGGGAATGCTGGCGGCCTCCCAGCCGAGCGAGGCGGCCCAGCCCGCGGCGCCGGCCCTCGCGAACGCCGAGGGGGCGTCGAGGGGCACCTGGGCGGCGGGGCGGCGACTGGCCATCGCTCGGACGTCCATTCCCTGTGTTCTTGTTTCGGTTTCGTGCGTGTTTTTTTCGCCAAATGGTCAAGGATGCTCCTCGATGGTCCTCGCCGAAGGAAAAATGCACACGTCCGAGCGATGCCAAGTGAGATCCTAACGTAGCAGTTGTCTCGCACCAGGCGTTTTCGCCCAGCTTCGGGCCCAGGAACATACATCACAGATCGGCCCAGCTCGAAGAAAATCGTGCAAGCTGGTGGCTATAGGGCTCTGGTCGTGATGTTTCGGGATGCCGCCCGTGTTTCGCCACGTCGGCTCTCAGGGAAGGGGGGGGGCCTTCTAAGGAAGGGTGGCGGGCGTCTTGAGCCCCTCCGGGCCCCCCCCCCCACGCTTCCAGGAGGCCTTCGCATAAGAGCTCTCATGGGAGCCTCCTGGGAGGGCCTCGTCCTCCCAAGACAGCTCCCCCCGCCCTTCTCTTGAAGCCCGACACCCCCCTCGCCACATTAGGCCTCCTAAATGGGGTCCGAGCAGGTGGGGCCGCAGAATCGTGCCGCATCGACGATGCATCGCCGATACATGAGCGACGCCGCCGGTGCATCGGCGACGCCGGCGTTCAGAACATCGGGCTCCACATCGAAGAACATCGCCGATGCCGCGCGATCCTCCGCCTCCATCCTCTCGGACCCCACTTGGGAGGCCTCACGCAACTCCCAGTAGAGCCCAGAATCGAATCGACAAGTCGGATCGACGATCGAGATGGATCGGATCGACGGATCTCGGCAGCCGAGTCGGGAAAAGTCGAATCGGCAGATATCGGCAGGCCAGTCGGCCTCCAGCGAGAAATCGGATCCCAAATCGGAATCCGAATCCGAAATCGAATCGAATCGAATCGGCGGCATCGATCCTCCGACCCCTGATTTTTTCATCACGTCAACCGCCCCCACGGAGGTCTCGACCCCTTTCCCCGGACCAATTCCTCATCCTGAGCCGATTTCTGACGGTCCCGAGGGCCGGCAAGGGCCCCCCGAGGCCGAAAGCAGCAGAACACCTCCCGTCCGGATTTTCTCTCTCTGCCCGAGGGGGTCTGGGTTCGGAGGGCCTCGCACAAACTCCCCCGTGCGCCGCCCATCTCGCGTTGGGTCGGGCCTGTCCCCCCGCGGGGGGATTTTGGACGAAAAGCTCAATGGATACTCATCAAATATTTGCAAAAAAAGTTAAAACATTGCCCCCCAGACGTTTTTTTTGTTTTTTTTTTTTTTTTGTTTGTTTTTCTTTTCTCTTAAAAAGGAAAAATGGGAAACAAAAAACAACTATTTTTGAATATCCCCCCTGTAGAGGGACAGGCCCGACTCAAATCTCGCGCGCGTGGGCGCACGCAGCCTGTGCGCGGCGGCCCACGCGGCCCGCGCCACAGCGCGGCACGGCCGCGCGGAGGGGGCGGAGGGCGACCCCGCGAGCGGCCTCGCGCACGGCGGCCTGCGCAGAGGAGGCCTGCGCCTGTGGAGGACGATCCACGGGGAGGAAGCATGCTGCCAAATATTTCCCAGCTGTCGAACAGATGTTCCAAAC